GATTGTTTCAATCCGTATAAGGATTTTTAAAGTTTTATTGAATAAATTTCTTGGAAACCTTAATATGCTTCAGAACAATTTAAATCCTCAATGATATTTATTATACGCATATCACATTTTTCTTGTATTGCCAGATTAAAACCTGAAATGGCGACATCCACCACAGGAGAACATGTTTCTATATAATCAATGCCAGGATATTTACAAATTTTCTTGTGACACAAATCGTCGTTATGTTTATCGACTTGACCTTTTTTTTTTCCGCACAAGAACACATTTATACCTCCACTGGCTTTATACTTTCAGATGTTGGGACTATCCGTCCAACTTCATATTTTTCAGGTGAAATTAATTTTCACTGCGTATTTTTCATTTGGCCAATCATTTATCTGTCCAAATTTCATGACAGATTTGAGCTCAAGATCCTCGTCAATATTAATAATATTGAGCGCTACATTATATTAACAATATCGTCAAGATCATTTTATATCGGTTCTACTATTACCCAATAAAGACATAACTTATTGAGATCTCTTTATCTTATTATTTTCAGGTACCTGAGCCTCTCCCATGAGGTCTTATGAAGTGTTATGTCGTGGTGCTCTTCTAGAGCACTTGCCTCCTTATTATGACCATCTTGAACATTTGCTCCTCTCCTTCTTCAAGGAGTTTTATCTTTGGAACCGATTAGTCTATTATGCTTCATGCATGCCATAGACTCTATTCATTATGAACTTTATTTTATTTGGAGCATTAGCAGCTGAATATGACATTTAGTTTTGGGTCAGCAAATACGCCTGGCAATATTTTGCAAATGAATTATCACTTGAACTTCAAGTTCACATTTTCTCGTACGAGGATCTAGATGTACTCATAATAATTCATTACATGCATTACTTTTTCAGCTGCCCATTTTCTTCCCCTATTGTTGGGATTACCAACAAATATCCCTAGCCTTATTTGGGGATCTATCTTTGTGCATTGTGGTGGAACAATTAAATCATATAGCACATTCATATTTCTAGATAGAAATTATTTGGTTTCTGACCGTGAACCGATTGTGATAGGGAGAACTTATCATAACTTGGCTAGATGCGTAAAAGTATTGTTGTATATTAAATAATATATCACATTCCAAATTTTATTTTGGCAATTTTGTTCTCATTACTAATGGTTTAGATATAATTGGAGGCATACAATTTCTGCTAAACCAACTTGGATTTAAACCAGTATTATCAAGATAAATCATCAAAATTTATATTATGGAACTGTGCTCTAATAATTTGAGCAATCAATCTTGCAAAAGCCAAACTGCAAGTTGATAACAAATGCACATGCGACCATAGAATAGATGCATCTATTAAAATCATATAATAGTAAACGGTCCACATGGAAGGTGACTGGGCCCATATTTCTCACCTTTTATTCGTTTCATAAATCAAGGGATTCAATCCCAACCTTAACTGGTATATCATGAGAATAAGCAGCAGAAGAGAATTCTTGAAGAATCTTATATTTCTTCAATATATGCCAATGTAATTCTCAATTAAATTTTCGCATCATAATTGAACCGAGATGGTCAACCGGTCATGCCAACTAATATTTATTTCAGTAAACCTCTAGTTTACTTGTGGCTTGTGATTGCATCATCATGCTTATACTTGTGTAGTACAAATAGAAGAAAAGTCAGGTAACATTTTATATTTACCCGGTATGATTATAGTAATATAAAGATATTCAATATTTTTTTCATTTATAGTTTCAATATGCTAACCACTTTGGCTAATATATTTGTAAATCAAAATATTTTTTTTGACACTTACTACAAGATTAATGTCATGAACAATTTCATTCATTCGGGTAGTAACAAATTAGTTCTTTCAGATCTTTTAACTTCTTTTATACTACAAGATCTTTTGTCACACCATCAATANGTCATGAACAATTTCATTCATTCGGGTAGTAACAAATTAGTTCTTTCAGATCTCTTAACTGCTTTTGTACTACAAGATCTTTTGTCACACCATCCATATAATGAATGTCTCCTTCACAAAGAGAATCATATCATAATAATTGTCATGTTCAAAATCATCATAAGCTAAATAATTTCTTGCTTTAATTTTGCTTTTAATAACTTTCATAAGGCTTGACAAAATATTTGGCGTATCACATGTATGCGACCAATGATATATTCATGTAAGTACACAATAATATTCATTATCTTTCTTTGTCTCAAACCCCCATTAGAGGTGAGTTGTAGTATTTATCCAACCATGCACTAGTACATTATTATGCATAATCTTTATCACATATATATTTTCACATTCACTTTCAGGAATGAGTATGCATTCTCAATGTTTATCACATGTCATATTCTCTTCAAAGAATGGAGTATAATCATACAATGCGCTTTATTTTATTTTATTTTTTTTATACTAATTTGATAGTAAACATTGTCTTGTTCTCCCATTTTATAATTATCATAGTGATAACTATTATTATTTTGGCCTTTCGCACGCCCACATTTATTTTTCAACCACTTGTATTTATTTAGACTTATCATGCACTGCTCTCACATTTACTTCAAGAATTGAGCAAATCAAGTGGGACAAGCTTCATATTTTTTCATGAAAAATATATTATTTTTTCTTTAGTTATTATTATTATCAATATGGTGCATTAGGACTCAAACCCAATGCCTTACCCATATAAAGGCATGCTAGGCCATAATACGTTGGAACTTGAATCCAGCGTCTTTTTATCAACATAGTGCGTTGGGACTTGAACCCATCGTGTTACCCTCAATCTTTGGCATAATAGTCTAAAATTCACTAGGACTCGCACTCGAGCCTTTAAAATATTATTATTTCATAATTATAGACATAAGTAAATTAATTTTTAAGAAGACATATATAACTATTTCAATCTTGAAACAATTTCTCTACAACAAAAATGCTAGTTAGGATATATGCCATTTTTTTAAATGATACAATCACTTTTATATTTTAATAAATTAATTAGGGGAAAGATGCAGATAGCCTATAACCACTTTTATTTCAAAGACTATAAGAACTTCACCAAAAAATTCAATACGGAGGAATGAGCCTTATGTTTCCAGCAAAAATATTTAAGGCTTAATGCATAACTGTGACTATTATAAATTATAACTATAATGAGTCTATATTGATTCTATATTCGAATGCCAAATTTGTAAGGTACTGTAAAATCGCCTACATATTTGATAATTTTGCTTTCAATGAAATACATCATGTGATGGTAAAAATATTATTACTAAATTACCTTAATAATTATCTATCATAGTATGTAAAATGTCAGAACATATATATACGTTGGAATATTATATTTGTCCTATAAGAGATGTGGCAAATAAAGACGTACCTTTCCAGTTCTTTATTTCAGTGGATATAATTGAAAAAAATATTTTAACTAAATACTGCACATAAAACTAATGCAAAGATATGAAAATATGAATGGGTTTAGATGGATGTAAAATTTATCTTTGTATTATCATCCAAGATATTTTTCATCGTACTTGATCTCATTGTCTGCTTATAATTTACATAATCTTGACGTAGAAGATCATGAAATGAGCAATTCGTGCTGATAACGTGTTATAAAATAAAAGCAATTTAGTAAAACATGAACAAGATATGTTGTTATGAAATAAAAACAATTTAGTAAAACATGAACAAGAAATAGAGATAGAGAGAAGGAAGAGATTTTCTTCTTCAATTGTGTGTATTTTCTTATCTATTACAAGGCCTTTATATAGGCATGAAAAGTGAAGAAAAATATGTCATTAAGCATAGAAATATGTCATTGAATATGTTATTAAACATTTAAGAAGATCATGGATGAAGAGTAAACATCCACCATAATTTGATTTTTCTTATAACACTATAAACCTTTTCTTTTTCAGAATATTTTAGATACTTATTGGAATCAACCAAATATTCTACTAGTTTAATTTGCCGGTAGGTTTAGTAACCACCGACTTGTCCTACTAACCTTGTTTATTCCTTTTGAAAGGTTCTTTCAATTTGGAAGTCATTTTTTAATTATAAATTCGGTAAGATAGAGCACCTTTGCAGTCCCAACCTCACATTTTAAAACAAGACAGATAATATTTAATTAAAAAAATTTGCATTTGGTCAATCGTCCAATTTCCTTGAATACTCAAAACAAGATGACAAGATGGACCATCAACTATGTTATTTTAATATTTATTTTTTCCACATCGAATTGTCAATAAGTTTTACTCAGACGACAAACAATAAGGGTCGTTAGGTAATATATATTATGAAAAATAATATATGTATTAGTTTTGATATTATTATTTTTTTGTTTGGTAGTATTTTTTAATCTATGTATTAGTTATATACTCTATTCAGTACTATTCTTATACATAACAAACTATATCATTAGTAATACCATGAGTTTTAATTTATGGATAAGTATGTATAAAGATAAAACTATCCTTTCAAAACCTTTTTCAAATCCATTCCAAAGAATATTGAGAGTATTTTTGTAAGCAAATAATTTTTATGCAATACATGTTATTTTTAATACACCAAATTAAAGAAATAATCCCAACATAACTAATTCATGTATTATTAATCCCAACATTACTAATATGCCATACTCAATATTATTCTTATACAAGGGTCACAATCCAACTTTCAAGAATTATTGCGTTGACTATTTGTTTTTTTTAAGCATGGAAGATTGACTCTAGACCATTAATCAATACTTTGATTAAATGATTAAGTCCCTGCTCCTAAAACCCTTTCATTTAGATCCGAAATAAAAAGAAAGAGGAAGGTAATGGTGCCAATATTTGTCTAATCTTTTTTTTTTCTCCTTCTAAATCCTTCTGAATCTTTTCATCCAGAAGTGGAGTACTAAGACCTAAGTATTTCATTAGCTTTTCTTTGTTCCTTTTATTTTTGGGTTGTTTCTCATATATCTTTTATCTTTTATAGAAGAAAAAGGAAACTGAAACAAGAATAAGATACAATTGCATCCACACAAAACAATCAAATAACAGCCAAACACAAGCCCACACGTAAATCCTAAGAACCAAAGACACAGCTATCTGGCACTTCAATTATTATCATTATTATTACAGTATTTTTTAACATAATACTTTAATTGATTGCATATTTCACCATTTCCCACCACAACATACGAGTAACTAATTACATTTTCATATTCGCCCTTCTTTTTCATTCATTGCTTCGGTTGTCAGATTCCATTTTACAGTGCAAAAATACACTAACATCACGAAATCATAACATATTGATTGTATCTCACGTTTTTGCCCCCCTTTCACGGGTTCTTTGCCTTTTCTTCATCATTTCCCTTTCGGTCTCTTTCTTCAACACCCCATTTTGCAACAAATCTTTCTCTAAATACTCTTTTTTATTTGGCATTCTTATCCGTTTTTGTTTCTGGGTTTTCTGTTATGTGGTGGGCTGCATGCTGTTGGTTTCTGAAATCTGCATATTTTCGCGGGGTAAGAAGCAATGTGTGTGTGTGTGTGTGTGTGTTTTATTTTGATCTGCAAGCTTTTGTATGTATATTGCTTATGTATCTTTGCTTTACTTTTTTGGGTATTGATCTGATCTCTTGCATTATTCAAGATTTGACCTTTGATTTGGCAGCATCTAGTGGTCATAAAAACACAATCTTTGAAATGGGGTCGGTGAATATAGCAACTAGTGCCGTTGTTTTTGACCAGGGAGGGGGTGGGGAGGTGTTGTGCGGAAAAAGGTTAAATTACTTTGCTAGTAATTCACTGTCCATAATGTTATAATGCTGTGATTTTGTTTTTGAGGTACAATTTGTTCTCTGTTTATCTTAAGGTTTCTGTGAGCTGGAATTTCTGGTGATTTTAGTGGTATGATAGTTTGCAGGACTATTTGTTGTTTTTGTGTTAATATTACCAAGTGGCTTAGGAGTCTTAGCAGACAAGTAATTTTAAGTTGTGCATGATCCTTATCATGAGCTCTTTTACTTCCAGTAAGGTGTCAAAAAGATCGAGTCAAGCTGGATCATGATTGTATCATTGTGATTTTGGAGGCTCGGACTCTCCAACAATTTAGGAGGCAAAAAGAGGAGGGAATATAAGGCAAAGTATAGTAAATGATGTTTGTTGCTTATATTTGAGTTTATCATTAGTTTAGTTGAAATCTATTTGGGATACTGCCTGTATGTGGTTTGATCTTTAAGATATTTGTAGTTACTCATTTTCATTTGAAAGATTTCGAAATATTTGCTCCAATTCTTTTTCACAACGCACATCCAATACATTTATTATGCTCATACTCCTCACCAAACAGACATTTATAATGCTCATACTATATCAAATAACTCTGCTGGCTGATAGATATATTGCTAAATTTTCCATTTCAGGAAGCTGGGGGATGTATTTGCAGTGTACATGTGTAGGTGATGTTCATTTTATAATTGGAGATAGTAGTTAAAAAGAGAGCTAAAGACATGGCAACTGCAATGGGTAGAAAGGCAGCTCCTGCACGGAATATAGTGGCATTTAGATCTTATCAGAGTCGGGCTGAGATATTGGTTAAAACTTATTTGTTAGCAGATCCTTTTATACCTTACACTTCTGTCTTTGCTGGCATATTTGCTTGCAAAATGGTAATGTTTATCGATCATATATCTTTTATCTTTCTTGTGACTATTGAAGAAAGGACTTCCCTTTTTTGATTCAAAGCTGACACATATTTGATGAAGAAACTTTACATGTTCTTGATCTTCTTTGTCACGGTAGTGATGAAACATACAAAAGAAAAAGAAAGAAAATATAAAGATTTGGGGGAAATTATAATATTTCTAATTGGTTTTTCGGAAAATAAAAGAAGTATAGAACATGTCCTACATAAGTTACTTTCATTTGCTGCACAATTTTCCCCCTGTACTTCCATTCCTTTTAAAACTGTTTTGGCTCTTCACAGGTCTATGATCTATGTCAGCTGATCAGCAGTTTTTACTTCAGGACGTACACTACCCTAACAAAAATTCAAAGGATTGAGTGGAACAACCGGTAAATATTCTATCTTTATACTTCCCAAGGTTTTATTAATTCACTACTCATGTTTGTGAGACTTATTTTTCTGCAGTGGCATGTCAACAGTCCATGCCATTTTCATATCTGTTGTGTCCACGTATTTTGCATTCTGGTCCAATCTTTTCTCTGATCACAATCCTGATGGCCTTTTAATCACCAGAAGTTCACCGCTATCGACTTTTACGTTAGGGGTAAGTAATCTTCTACTGTATATGCTGAGTATTGTCTTGTGATACCCCTTCCCCTTCGGGTTTCCTTGAAAGGTCTTGATTCAGGCATTCAAAATCCAGTGGCGTATCTCTCTGGTTGTAGAATAAAGATGACTCTGGTATTTATCCTTGTAATGCTAATGTAGATGGAACTTCAATTATAAATAATTAATTAAGTATGTAATATCTGAATTCACCTCTATGTATGCTTCTTAACTAGAAAAAGTTAGGGCTCAATTTTTCTTTGGCAAAAACGTTATTGGTTTGTTGTTTCCTGTATGGACCTGTTACTCTTAGGGGAAAACAATCGAATTTTGGGTTTAAAGGGATTCAAATTTACACTTTGCACGGGGTAGAATCCCTTTGGTGCCAGCTAAGCTAAGGCTTGTTTTCTTATGTGTCTTTTATGTTCTTCTTTTGTTTCTTTTTCCCTTGCCTTTTTTTGTGTGCAAACCAGGTGGTGAGGGTGCAGTGGTAGAGCCTTGATGCATGTTATTTGAAATATGGTGACATTTCCTTTTAAGATTGTTCTCACTTCTCTGATTTCAACTCGAATAACTTTCCTTGCATCAAGTATTTGATACTGAAATCTTAACCAAAGAAAAAAACCCAATTATACTTACTAAAATCATCTTTTGAGTTGAACATATTAAAATTCTTAGCAATATCCCAATTCTGAAGACCCGCATTGTTATATAGACATTTGCTGAGTCTTATATTCGGACCGCAATCCCTGTGGCCAGGGGCAGATTTAGGGGGGCGGAAGGGGGTTTGTCCGACCCCCCTTTGTCGGAAAACTGTACTATGTATATAGGGTTAATTTTCTTTTTTATGTATATATATAATATGCTGAATCCCCTTGACACAAGTAAAAAACTTAGATCAATGGTCAAGGGGGTCCAAATTTTCTAAAAGGTTGGAGGTTCAATTCCCATTGAGCACAGTTATCCTTTTAAATTTTTGAATCCCCTTCACAAATATCCTGCCTCCACCATTGTCTGTGGCCTGGCCCTCCAGGACAGAACACGTACATGCACACACACCACACACACTCACATTTATATATGGACACTTATATTTGGAATTAGGGGACGATATTTGAGACTGACTAATTACTTTTCGAAATAAGCTTAAAATAGTCTATTATTAACTTAACACTTTTGTTTTCCCCCCGGGTAAACCAGCCACTTATTGGAGTGAAATAATACATCAATAAATCGGTTATACGATAATATATTAAGATTTATAACCTACATGAAAAGGTTGGTCTCATACATGGATATATTAGATTCACACAGGATTGAGTGAGAAGGGATAATGAAGATGAAAAACCAGTTTTTGGAGTATCAGCACCTTGTGTAATGGGGTGAGGTTTGACTTTGGAAGATATGTGGTGTTGCAGAATTGGAATAAAATGGACCTGATAGAGCGAAATGGATGTAGATGATTCATATGATGAACTCTAAGTAATTCAGAATGAGGCATAGTTGATTTATGCACGGTTTAATTGCATGGTTCGGGATGTTATTTTTAGGAGGTTAATCAAGATTGAGAAAAGGAGGAGATAAGGAACTATTTTGGAAGCTCTAACTGGTCCAGAGGGAATTCAAGAAGGATGTGATGTTGTTGAGGCCTGAGGGTCAAAGGAATGAAGATGTTCGTGAAATCATATAATTGGGTGTTATATCGAGAGAGGGATAGGAGGGAGGTGTGGAAGAACATGTATGACACCAAAGCACGTAAGAAGGTTGTAATTTTCACTTTGGTGGACAACGTAATATTGAAGGTGGACAACATAAGGAAGAGGAGGAGAAGAATTGTGGTGATTTAATGCTGCTTGTGTAAGGAAATTGGTGAAAACACCGACCAATTCCTGTTACATTTTATATTCACTACACAGTTGTGGAATTCTGCTAGTTCTCTGTCAATGTTGCTTGGTTAGCACCAACAACAGCAAAAGAAACCATCATGAGCTGGAGGAATCAACATATCAGTAAAGAGAGACAGTGTGAAGAACTATGTTTTAATTTAAGCTAATGAGAGATGAAAGAAATAGGAGATTGTTCTACAGTAGTGAAGGAACAGAAGTAGTATAAGATGAACTTTTTTGCCTTTTTTACTTTAATAGTTAGAGGAACACAAGTAGGGGAAAAGGATCTCTTTTGTTTCATGTAATTTATTGGTTTGAGTAGAAATTATCAGTATTATAACTGATTAGGATAGCANCCCTCCCTCTCCAAAATAAATAAATAGAATAATATTAAGATAGCCGAGAACAAAAGTCTTTCCTTTTTCTTAAAATGTTTTCTATAAATACAAACTACAAAAATGTATTGCTTCTTTTGTTTCCTTGTTATACTATTGCAACAGTTTCCTGAAAGATATATAGCTTCAGCAACAAATAAATCGGTTCAAAAGTTGGTTATTATTTCTTTAAGCTGGTATTATGTCTCTTAGAATTCCATTATGTGGCTCATTAGCTTTACACCATGGTATTTGCACTATATCATTTGGTTTTGTGGATTGGGCTATGTGGTCATGTTGCATTATCTTGCTTAACGTAATAGAGTCAATATAGCAGGCATGCTGGTCAGGACTTGCTAACCTAATTAGCTTAGAACTTGATTTACCTTTCTTATTTTCATGTGTCAGTAAGTAAATTAGATGTCAAATTCTCTTGTCACCTGGCTATTTTAATCCTCAGCTTGTGACGTTGTCAGGTATCAGCTGGGTACTTCCTTTCAGACCTTGGAATGATTTGCTGGTTTTATCCTTCTTTGGGCGGATTAGAGTATGTAAGTATATATTCTCAAGTGCAAGACACTCCACTTAACATTGAAATTATTTTCTTAGTTTTGAACAAGCAATAGTTGTGTTTCCTGAAATCAGCCAGGCAGATATCTCCACCAATCTATCTCATTCATTTTTTTCTTTCTTTTTCTTTCTTTTCCCTGTCGCGGTGCATCACAAAGTGGTTATCTTTGTTATGTGGCAAGTGATCCCCTTTGTTCCCTACTCTCTGATAGGATCTTTCTGTTGCTAGGCTTAATGCTTGAATTTAAGGATAGATGCCAGACTGTTTGGATCTTGGGTCTAGGTGTGAAAATGAAAAATAAACTTAATTACCTGTAAATACTGTTGAGTGTTAATATTCACGTAATATTAGGTAGATATGAATGTGTTTGTGATACATGCTAGCTTTTTAGCTTGTTGTACAAGTATGTAACACAAGGAACTTCACTTGATGAAGACTTCAGTATTTGATCTTCAACAACTACTAAAAAAGTTCAAAAAGTTCATACCTTTAAAGTAGATTCTGTGTTGTATACTGGAAATATTGACCCATAGACAGCCATGTTTGGCTTTTAAACATTTGTACAGTGGAGGTGCTAGAAAAGTAAAAGGGATCTTTTTATTTTGTTGTTATATGGACTAAATGATATGGTCGTAAGATGGAAGTACTAACCAGATAATTTAATTAAAATCAGACGTGTTGGGTGGTGGGTTACAAAATTTAAAGTTTAACCTACCACATCTGTTTCTCAATGAATGCTTCTGCCAATCAGCTTGCAAATCACCAGTAAATTCACAAATTTTATTATGTTTTGGATTCTGGGTACTCCACATTGATTTCTATCTCGAAATATTATTTTGGAAAAAGTTCAGAGGCATGGCAAATTATTTTGGCGGGGTGTAGTTTCTTGACAAAGGGATGACATTTATCTCCTTGTTCTAATCTTTGGCTCGTTTAACAAGTTCTGGTGCACTTCTAGTGGAAACTGGGAAAAGATAGAAAAGAAGATTGACCGCTCCTTAGTGACTTGGTGATTAACAATGTTCAAGAAGTGTTTCATATGTAGGACTTTAGAGGACAATAATTGTTAAGGTAGTTGCCGGAGACTTAAGTCGATAATGGAGAATCTAATTTTAGCCTCGCTGAATGTTTTTGTTGAGAAGACAAATTTCAGGTGCAGTGATGATTAATCACCAAGTTAATTTGTGGACTCGTGATTAAATAGTGAAGTACCTCGAGGAGTATTATGCAAGTTGGATATTGAAAAGGCATATCATATTCTATTAGGAGTTTCTGTTGTATATTAAAGGGGTTTGAACTTTGAAGTGGGGATTGAAAGGAAATGGATAATGGGTTTCTATCTTTTGCTATTCCCTGAATGATGCCTTGATTTTTGTGGGCCATAATGCAGAAACTTATAATATTTGTGTTGAAATTGATTCAGTTTGCAGCCGAATTAGGACTATATACTAACACACAGAAGTCTGAGTTGGTAGAGATGGGAGATTTGCAAAATATTCACACTGGCGAGTATTTTGTGGTTGTAGGACAACAACATCACACATCATTTATCTGGGATTACCACTCAGAAAAAAACTCAAAGTAAAGATTTCTAACAACAGGTAATTGATAATTTTAAGAGGTTGAACAGTTGAAAGAGACATATATGCTTAAAGGGGAAAAATACACTATGGAGGTCTATTTTAGATAATGTACCTACTTGTATTTGTTTCATATGCCGAGAGTACTGTCAGACAGATCGGAAAAAATGATGAGGGGCTTCTTATGGGAAGGAAAAAGGGAGAGAAAATGCATTTAGTAGATTGGAGGTAAATAATATTTAATTGATAATTTTAAGAGGTTGAACAGTTGAAAGAGACATATATGCTTAAAGGGGAAAAATACACTATGGAGGTCTATTTTAGATAATGTACCTACTTGTATTTGTTTCATATGCCGAGAGTACTGTCAGACAGATCGGAAAAAATGATGAGGGGCTTCTTATGGGAAGGAAAAAGGGAGAGAAAATGCATTTAGTAGATTGGAGGTAAATAATATTTAATTGATAATTTTAAGAGGTTGAACAGTTGAAAGAGACATATATGCTTAAAGGGGAAAAATACACTATGGAGGTCTATTTTAGATAATGTACCTACTTGTATTTGTTTCATATGCCGAGAGTACTGTCAGACAGATCGGAAAAAATGATGAGGGGCTTCTTATGGGAAGGAAAAAGGGAGAGAAAATGCATTTAGTAGATTGGAGGTAAATAATATTTAATTGATAATTTTAAGAGGTTGAACAGTTGAAAGAGACATATATGCTTAAAGGGGAAAAATACACTATGGAGGTCTATTTTAGATAATGTACCTACTTGTATTTGTTTCATATGCCGAGAGTACTGTCAGACAGATCGGAAAAAATGATGAGGGGCTTCTTATGGGAAGGAAAAAGGGAGAGAAAATGCATTTAGTAGATTGGAGGTAAATAATATTTACCAGTTTGCAGTGACCAATTCAATGTAGTTCGTATATATAATGCAGCTTATGGCAACTAGTTTTCCCTGGACTTCTCCGTTTTGATTGGAACTGAAAAACGGTCATGTCTTGTGTTTCGTTAGTATAATTGGAAGAGTGGCCATTAAATCTCTGGAAATACGATGTGCAGATTTATGTGTAGTATGTCAAATTTTAACTGTTGGATTTCAGGTTGTCCATCATTCTCTTTCAGCAATTGCTGTAGCATACTCCATGTACACTGGAGAAGGACAGCTTTATACATTCATGGTACTGATATCTGAGGTGACAACACCAGAGATCAACATGAGATGGTAGGTGCTAAGAAGAAGACACGTTGGTGAAGTTCAGCAGCATCCATGTTGCAGCACCCTATGAACTTATGTCTCTTTATGGCTTTCTTTCAGGTTTCTTGATACAGCTGGACTGAAAAGATCTAGTGCATATCTGATCAATGGCGTGGTGATATTTTTTGCATGGCTGGTAAGTGAGGTCTTCAATTCTTCATGTGGCATATACAATGCCATTTTGCATAAAAGGATTTGTAGCATGGTTTGTTACGTGGATGTAGGAACGGGTATTATCTGGGGTACACTACTTTTAGCAGGTTTTGTTATATGCTGAAGAATCTGCCTCATGTACCCTGAATCATGTCATAACCGTTTAACAGGGGTATGTCAAAGCAAATGAAGAGTCCATTTAACATAAGCTGCATGACATATAGAAGGGACTGTTACACTTTGCAGTGCATTGCTACCCCTCTCTCATCCAAAATTTTCTATTCTAGATAAGAGTGGGGAGGCGGTGAGGAATAGAGGTGATTTGTGGTGAATTGGAATGGTTGCTCCTTATAATTGACACATGCCATGATTCCATTGTCTTTGAGACATTTAACCATTTCATTGATCCCTATTTAGTATTTGCTAACTGAATTCTATTACTAAATGCAGGTTGCAAGAATTTTGCTGTTCATTTACATGTTTTACCATGTTTATTTGCACTATGATCAGGTGACTCTTTGTTTATTGACAACTCTCTCTCTCTCTCTCTCTCTCTCTCAATCAACAAGGTCTTAACTTTTTCTTCCAGAGAAATTCGGCTATTTTGAAATATGTTTTACCAACACTCTTTAAGCCCAAGGAAATTCCCTCAATCAAAATCCAAGTATTTTGGTTGTTAACTTTATTTGACGGTAAAATCCATTAAAGTTTTGATCTTAAATATTTTATGGCCTGAATTGTAAGACCAACTATATTATATGAGAGTGAATCCTCTATGATTCAACACATCCTTAAGATGAGTGTCCTAGAAATGCAAATATTAAGATGGATGTGCAATAATACAAGGTTACATAGACAATAAATTGAGAGGTTGCTTGAGATAGTTGGTCATGTCTTACGTAGACCTCCAAATGCGCCGTCCGTAGAAGTGAAACCATGACGATTGAAGGCGTTGTAAGCGGACAGGGTAGACTAAAATCACATGGAACGGAGTTGTCTGTTGTCTTAAAAGACCTACAATCTCTTGGAATCCAAGCATACTTGGAAAAGGTAAAACATAACGGAAGCAAAAGATCATATAGGTTATTCCCATTAGCTGGGATGAAGACGTAGACATATTGGTATGCTTACATTATCTCCATTTTTTTTTGAGAAGGTAATATGTTGTATGTATTAAACACAAAAAAGTACATGGGTTGTACTGAAACCATATATACAAGTGAGCATAAAGAGTAAACCAGTCTACATTTCTAACAGGAACCTAATGTGTCTAAGATAGATACATTATCTCCATTTCTTGGTGGTTTTCTTTTAATCTTTTACATATTTATATGTCTGTCGATTATGTACGGAACTTGTAGTGTTATAACATCCCAAACTATTTAATATTGGAATGAAACAGGTCATTATTGAAATGGATAGTTAGGATCCATATGGCTGACATCAGTTAGCTTGGAATTGAGGCGTAATTATCGTTAGTTTGAATTAAAATGGCCGGTTATTTGCAGTAAAGGATTTTGAAGAAATTGTTCAAAAACACATTATATTCTTTAAAGTATCCTCTAGGCAAGATTCTGTAGGGATTTCCCATATAACCACCAACTCATTGATATGGGTTTTATTATAAGTAAAGCATCTTCCCTCCGATAACATTATATATAGTTTATCATCAAAAAGTCTATCATTGTGATTACTTTTAGAATGCTGTCAATCCTTCACTTATGATGATTATTTGTTACATTACCTTTTCTTTCAGAATACATGCTTTCCATTTCTATTTTAATTGTTGTTTAGTTTTGAACGAATAAATCGCGGCGCTGTAGTTGCACAAAATATAAATTGTAAATACATCATAATGCAAGTTTGTATAGCACCTAAGTTTTAAAATTGTTATTATTCAACATTAATAGAAAATAAAATATATGCATATTTACAAATGCAGATCAACCAAAAATAGCAGCAGACAATCTAATCTTTTATTAACTGAGAAAATTGGAAGTAAAGATATAATTATACGCTTTAAACAGTTGATATACTAGTAAAGAGAACTATATGGATCTATAGAAAATTCACGTGAAGGAGTAAGCATTAAGCTTAACCTTGTAATTTTAAGATTGTCCATCTCCCTTGTTGAAATTTTGGCTCGGTGCAAACTATGTTCTTCACTTATAGTTTGTATATAGATTACACAGTATATGAGACAAACCTTTTGCTGGTAAAAGTATCTGCTTACTGCAAAAAAGTTATTGGCTGGTGAGTAATACTGTTACTGAAATTGATCAAGGGGTTTTATCACTCTATTATTTCTGAAACATGGATCAACATGAATATCTCTGCAATGGTGTATGAGGTTCGGAAATAGAAGAGAGGGTTTGGAAATAGTATACGAGGATCTTTTTTTAATATTCTTTTTCTTTTCCCCTCCTTTTTCCTTTCCTTTTGCATACTTTAAGGAGTTTAGGGCAGTATCTGGAATTCCAGAATCTAGCTTCATTTCCTTTCTTTGCCAAGAAGTGCATTCTATTTATCTTCTCTTATTATGTGCTAGTATCAAATGATTTCTAATTTAATTACTAAAAATTTTCTTTTTTGAAATATGAATAAATGATTGCAGGTCATTCACATGCACATTTTCGGTATTCTTTTGGTTTTTGGAGTCCCCTCAGCTCTTGGTGTGATGAACCTGATGTGGTTCGGCAAAATCATTAAGGGGTTGAAAAAGAATCTTGCAAAAAGGCTGTGACAAGATGTCAGCATGATCAGTGCCCATTGATGCATTTTTCCCACGAACTCCTCTATACTGTACAAATAGGTTATAGGGTAGCTGAAAGGGGAAGAGAGAAGGGTTAAAGACGTCGGAAGAATAGAGGGTTAGTAGAATCAACAGAAACCAACACATGTAATTGGCTACTGGCAAAGCATGTTCAAGACGTTCACATGTCCTATATCTGTTTTGAGAAGGAAAGTATAACAATGCAATGAGAAACACCACGGGAAGTAAGTAATACATGAGCCCTGTATATGTGATCTGTTCAAATGATACAGTTGTTTCCATGCGATAAACATCTCAGAGCCAGTAACTTCACTTGCATGTTAGCGTGTTCATATAATTTTGTTGTTTCCTTCAACTTTGATTTACTCGTGTACGAGCCATCTTATTTAGTTCCATATTCTACTCCTATTTTTTGCTTTTATTCTTTGATTGGCATCACTTCTTGCAAGTGTGGAAACTATTTGTTGAACTACCAGGTTTTCATTTACTTGTAAAGATATAAGTGTTCAAAAGTGAAAGATGTGAACTTAGATTCTCGTGCGAGTATTTCCTTAATGTTGCATTGGTCAGAGACTCAGTTTTTGTTTGATAAATGAAATATATTCTGGTGGGGATAGATTGCAGTTTAGGATGTTTAGCTAAATAAGAACATCCACATCCCTATTTCTGTAGCTATTGTTGGTAAGGAAGAATGTGTTAGAATATTGGAATGTTCCAATTACTTTTAAACTTTCATTGCAAGGGATAGAAAGAGGGAAAGGAAAAGACAGTTGTAAATTTCCCTCTAGTTTGGCATGTTAAAGTAAAGATTGGTTAAGTATCTTCTTCAGGCACAAATTTTCTTCCCAAAACAAGTGTACGACCATTTCCTTTTGGTATCCAAAAGATGGAAGTGTTAATTTTCCTCTCTTTCTCTCTTTTCCTCCCCTTGTAGAAACGTTTTCAGAGACCAACTATTTGGACTCTAATTTGAGTTGATATTTTAAATCTAAAACTTTCGTCTATTGATTTTGAAAATTACTATCGGAAATTGTTGCTCTCTGATTGTTACTATTTGATGCTACTCTTCCTTTAACTAACTGATGCTACTTTTTCTCCTCTTTTTCCTTATCGTCTTTTGTCTCCCCCGTCTTTCTTTCTCCCCCATCTTTCTTCTGCTTCTTTTTTTCCTTTTCTTCTTTTCTTCTTTTTCACCTTATCTTGAGCCGCGAGTCTATCGAAAACAGTCTCTCTACCTCTCCAGACAGGGGTAAGGTCTGTGTACACACTACCCTCCCTAGACCCCATTTGTGGGATTATACTGGATATATTATTGTATTTTAAATTTAAAACTTATACACATAACCAAACAAGTACAGTGGAATGGTGAGTGCACGGATGGCAATGGGGCAGGGCAAAAGTTGGGTCGGGCAGGGCAAAGCCTTAATGGGGTAGGGCAGGGTAATTCTTAAATGGGGCAGGGCGGGTCAAAACAATTTCATAGAAAATTTTAGATTGGATAGGGCAGGTAACGGGTTTTAGCTTTATTAAAAAGGTCGAAAAGTTATAAAAACTTGAATAGAATCTTGCAAAATAAAATAAAAAAGTTAAAAAAAAATGAAGGAGAGTATAAATAGGGCATGACAGCGCAGGACTTAATATGGCAAACTTGAAAAATGCTAAATAGGACAGGGCGGATCAAAAGCTTAGCATGTCACAACTTGCCATGCCCTGCCCTACCCAATTGCCATTCCTAAGTGAATGTGGAATGTAAGGCAAAATCCCTCCATCCAAACAGGTAAGAACTTGGGGTTCATTTGGATGG